TAACACTAATGGCATTGGGGTACAATCTCTGTTTGATGTCCTGAAAAGACGTTACATTTCTCATTGATTCAGTAGGAGACGACATTCACAAAAACGCCGAAGACACCCCCATTCTAGTTGACGTAGAGAAAAACATGTTAAAATTATAAGCTTAGTATACTTTCGTATATAGAACTATCCTCGTACAGAAAAAGGAAAACGTTGCTTACATGAGACACTCGCACAATGGCTGGGTCAATTTTGGGCCTCCTATTTTCTATTGTGAGTTGATTGAAAAGCATTTTTTTTTAATCAAAATCCGTTTCTCCCCTTCTCGTATAAGAGCCATGAGCCACTATCTAGAGCCCCCGTATGAGCATCTTTGGAATATTTATGTAGCGTCATCTTTACGGTACGGCTTTAATCGAAAAAAGCATTTTATAACTGAGTCTAATTGTGTCGACTTTATGATGGGACCATTCCATCATAATATGCGCGTTATTCTAACTTTCGGAATAAATATTGCTGGTCTGTCTTACATACGTCTTTGATAATACTAATACACTGTCCGATACATACATGTCCGATGTCAGAGCCGAGTTGAGAAGAAGCAAAGATTCTATGAACATTATGTAATGGCCTGAACGGCTAGGTCTCTGGCTAAAAGAGACCCAGGGTCGCAGTTTGAAATTTCACCAATGACAACCTGCGTGAGTAAAGGAAGTTTTTTATTCGTAAACTTCCATTAGTTTCTATGCGCGTCGGACAAAACAAACTTTGGTTATTGTGAGCTCACACAAAACTGTTGAGACAAACTAGTGCTACAATGGCATATCGTTAAGTCAAATGAATTAGTCATTTTCAGTCGCTCCGTATCAACGACGGGCGCACATTAAACCCAGGTTCATAAGAGGCCAAGGATCATAAGGTTAACACAGGCTTCGTTTTGAGGCCAAGCAGCGGACAAACCTACACCAGCCTATCAAGAAAGACATGAACAGCGATACCGATTGCTGCGTATTAAGGCTAGCATTGATTAGCTTTACGGTATACGCCTATCTAACAATAGGCCATTTGTACCAGAAAAGGTTGCGCGATAGTCGGCTGGCAACTTTCCGCCCAGGTCGTGTGCTCGAATCTTGGGTCGAAATACAAATACACGTGTTCTAGAAAACGATGCTGCACGATCCGAATTGAGTGCGAGTGATTTGGTAGGGTATAGTTATTCAAAGCAAGATTCAATTTTAGAGATTATTAAACTTAAGTCTGAGCGGACCATTGTATTTGCGAAGCAACATAAATGCCGTACTGATAACACAAAATTTCTCCAATCACGAGCGAAAACAACGAAACTTATTCTAGCTAATTGGCAGAAGCAATGATATCACATACTCGGCGCAAATGTTATTCCAGCAATTCCAGTACTGGTCAGACTGGTTCTCTGATCATACACGCATACATGATCATTTGATTGATAATTATTATGTGGCAGAGCCGTCTAACTGATAAACATATTGTAAGCCACCCAGTAGCTAAGTAGCAAGCATGATACCGTAAATACTCCATCAATAATACAAAATACGATCATTTATTTACACCGAGTAAAAATCACACACAAAAACAATTGTTCGCTGGCGATGTTCCCTCCCGCTGTCGTTAGAGCTCCTGCTCCTTGATAGGAATCGTTTGCTAATAGTGCCCCAGTCGGCGGCACACGCAGAGTCTGTTTTTAAAATCTATTGAACGTCATCTCTGAGCGACGACCGCTTTCCTCTCCACAGCTGCTTGTGAGCTGTTGGTGATTGTTTCAATACTTGACCCTTGTAGTAGCACATCGTCGTAGCGAGATACGTCGCTCGTACGAGCGTGCTAACATCCATGTATTTGTTATTGTATATGGTAAAACGATAAAGAATCTTGAGTACGCTATTCTCGATATGAAGGACCACCCAGCGATTACATTGGCCAAGAGCAAAAGGCCGTCACCGCGGTCAAGCCAGTGTCGTAGCAGAACGCACATACAACGGTATATGCTGACTCTTACAAATTCCATGTTTTGCTACAGTTTGACCCCGCTCGATCTTAGGTAGACCGGCATGCTTATTGATTGGTAATATTTGACACTTCCGTTTCAGCCGTATGTCCGGCAACGGGAAAGTAACTGGAAGGTAACGTCGCCTCTTAATCATTCCGTTAGCCAAATGATTCAAACTAAATGGGTTTTCAGAATCGGTTGCCAATGTCCAATGCCAATCTCTATAGGGGCAAATAGTTTTCACTATATACCGTAACTGGTAATGATCTAGAAAGACGTTTTAGATCAAGCGAAAATTTGCCGCTTCCAGGACTACGTATCAGCCCTCGTGGCTGTCGTCGCCTGCTTCCAGAACCATTTTTCAAGCACAGGACAAACATCGTGTACTTGCTTTGTGTAGAGCTTAATCAACCTGATATATTGGAACAAGTTTTTCTAAGTTCGGCTATATTTCTTCTTGTAGACTCTCAGCAGATTTGAATATAAAGCGGTGAGAAGTGTTACAAATAGATGACTTTAAATTTGTAGATATTATGTTGCTATCCCTCATGATGCTGATTCGGCGAATCAGACGAAGGCAATGTGCTGTCTAACGGAAGCTCAACATTTACGAGAACGATTTTCATATTTAAGGTTTTCGTAAAACCATCGTACTTCTTATTGAAGTTCATATACAGTATGCCAATACGACTTCACTGGTAGTATATGGAAGATAGATAATTTATGGGCTTTCTCTGAATGCAATATGCAAATTTATTGATGAGAAATGTCTGTCTTCCAAGAGACATTTGCAAGCGTTCCAGTCAGATTTATCGGCTTAGACTGCGACAATCGAGTAGATAAATGAACATGCATAGGCGAAATATTCAGTCTAAATAAAGCATATCATGCATATTATCTATGAAATTCGTTAAAAGAAATGAGCTTTTTCCAACCCAATATGTATAGGTTTCGAGGAGTACCTAGTTTTGTCATAATCACTAAAAGTGGTCTAGTATGGTAAGTATTTACTATATCCTGAATCTATACAACCCGCAGCGCTGGCGACCACTTGTGATAAAGTGAACACGCCAAGGGTTTAACGCTGACCTCAAACGATACTCTGCTGTCTCTAGTCCGTATCGATAACGCCGTACCCACATTGTTGCTTCGTTGCCCTGGGCTGCTTGCGGCCAATACATATATATGCTAACGCCATATGGATTCGATGCGCACGCTTTATATAGAGGAAGCTATAGGGAGAGCCTTGATAGACTGTACGAAGACAAGAGAGCGCGCTGTTTTCTATGTCACAATCTCTCTACGCAGCGCGGACCTAGTGCTATATTCTGCTAGCGGGTGAGCCGACAAAAGAGCGGCGGGAACTAAGGACAAGGGCCTTGTTCGTGTTTTATTCCGCAGGACATTATCTCTCTAATAGAGCGGCGACTATGCCGACCACAGCCGCCTCGTTATTAACCAACTATTAAATACGACGTCCCAATTTTTCCCTGCTCCTGAATGCCTCCAACCATAGTCCAAAGTTAGTCCCCCCCCCCCCCCCCACCCCGTCTGTCTCTAGCAATCTCTAGCGTTCCAAGTAGATTCGTCTGCGGCGGGACTGCCCACCCCCGTGTTCCCGACAGAGAAAAAGAGAGGAAAGACAGCGAGAGTGAGGGGAATCCAAGCTACGCATATCACGGGGCTGCGGGCGCAGGGCTACACTCGCTCTTGGAGCTCGCTTAGACGACTAGGCACAAGAAGGCGTTGATATGATCAACCTTTGAAAATATACACAAGCCGCCCTGCTGACAGGGATCCAATGGTAGGAAGCGAACGCAAGGCAGGCCTCCAACGGCGCACATACACTAGAGGGCCGCCGGGATCATAATATTAGATGGAAAACAGCGACAGGCCTGAGCCGACCGGAAGTACCTTTTGACAACGATCAGGGAGCTGGCCAACCAGTTAGCTGCATAACCTACCGACTACAATTCTATACTGCCATTCTGACATTAAATTAAACCGAAGATAGAAACTGCTGGTTTCTATCTTCAGTTTAATTTGAGGTTTTGCTTAATCTTCAGTTCGCCTCGTCTGCTAAACACTGATTCGACGTTGCTATAATATTGAATCTCCCACGGTTAAAACCTTCAACAATTACTTGCCTGTGTTAGCCTAATTAAAAACAACTTATACCTATTTATCTAGTGCGTTTTTTTATGCTCTACAATAGCAGCAACACCGGTAGCATCGCTATTAGTAATCCACTTAAACGCATCGCAAACACTTCAACATTTATTTAGCACCATCTCTCCACTGAAGCCGCCCAATATTGCACCGTTTGCACAGCACTACTGCTTCCGGTTTCGGCAGCGCAGAGTCTTTCGCGAGGCGGTTCCCGCCTCGTCAGCCCGCGGAACCAACCCTCGTTCTCTTGGGCATGCTTCGGCTGCTCTCCGTTTCCCCCTTTCAGCCAACCCCATGTACCCCACACTTGTCCCTATGGCTCAAAGCAGGACCCTGGCAGGCATCGAGCCAACTCCCTATACAGTCCTTTTTGTCCGGCGCGAATGTGTAGGCTGCCGCGAGGGAGCATATTAATACATAATCTTGTCTGGTTGCACCGACGCTGCAGCCGCAGCCGCAGCTGCAGCCGCTGCTATCACCACCGCTACTGCTGCTGCTACCGTTGGTGGTAAGCTATCGCACACGCGGGCGTTCTCGTCGAGTCCGTCAAGCCTAAGGAGACTCGGACAGTTGTAGCTGGAGCCGGGGCTGGCAGCAATAGCGTTGAGGCTTGGCTAGGTTTTGCCGCGCGAACCGTTAGCTCCGCCCCCTTTTGGGCGGGGCCTCCAGTGACTGTCCCTCGCGCCCTCTACTCCTTCGCGTGCGCCTTCCTCCCCTCCCCTTCCCTCCCATCCCCCGCCCTCTGTTCCCCTTTCCCCCGATCTCGTTCGAGTGAGCGAGGACCGCTAATCGGCGATTAAACTACCACCGTTGGCTGGCGCCGCTTGGGGTCGAAACCGTCACCGCCGCTGTTCGTCGTTGGAGAGTGCGAAACTGCTACAAACGTTGAACGGCGACGGCCCTGACGGAACCCACCAGAGAAGGAAGCATATTTTCGAAGGAACGCACTAAACCTGCTCAGAGGGAGTTGAACGGTCAGTGCGCGAGTACACTCTGGGAAGGCGGCTCGGCAGGATTGGAGGAACTGCACATAGGGTTCATGCAATACGCTGTGGCGCTTGCCTATGCTGTGCAACACCACGCAGGCTTTTCGACGACTACAACAGGTATAGCTGTTGTCACTTCGAATACTATTGCTATTGTAGTATATGGCGATCCTGCAGTATTCAACTAAATAAATCGCTGACGCAGGCGCGCTAAGGATGCGGAGCTGGAAGGCAAGGCTTTGAAGTGGAGTGCTCGGAATAGTTTGGCCAGCTGCATTGACGGTCAGCGGCGATCGCAACGGCGATAGTATTGCATCCTTCCGTCGCAAAGGGTGGAGAAACTAAAGGAGTAATGGATCTTCTGGACCGACTGGAGCCATGGGCTTGTGCCAGAAGGCCCCAGTTTTAATAATTCGCTATAAACGAGCGGGTAAAGCTTAATTTCGAAGCCGAAAACCATTATTGCCAGGTACGTGACTACGACATTGTTGTCGTCAGATTGCAAAACGGGCTAGTTAGACTAGCCGCATCGGCAGTGTAACAACAACACGAACCAACGTGTTGTGCACGTAGTAATAGTGCACGGTGAGGAACCCAGAAAGAGCGAGGAGCGGACATGTGACCCAGACAACACAAAGCGAAGCTTTTCCATCCAAGTGCAATACACAGATATCTATGTATAGTTGTACAGATCCGTTGTGTCTTTATAGGCACGGGCCGATGTTGACGTTCATATTGTTGATGTTGTCGTGGCCATCATTGCGATCGTGGGGCACATCTATTGTCGTCTAGTGGGTGCTCTGTGCAATAAGAAGAAAAGCGAAGTTATGTGAACGAGTCTTGGCTGGCTTTGCGGTAAATGGAACGAATTTTTGCGAAGCAAGACGACCTTTTGAGATCAAAACAGGTGGCATCCGGCATAGGTTCAGCGGCGTCTGGCGCTTAATGTTCGCATACGCTCATGGCAAAGGAGTTATTGTCGTTGCGGCACAACATCGCGACCCTGGAGTAATTCATATTATAGCAGTGTTGTATAGTCGTTCATCTACTAACCATCAGTGCTTTGTAATAATTAATAGAGAGTGTTAGTGTAGGTGATAGTGGTTACTTACCAGCAACAACAGAAGTCCTTCACGACGGAAAAAGCGTGAAGAATAGCTTCTAACCGTTCGACCGGCGTATACGCTTCGGTCGATTTAGCATAAATAAAGCGAACCAAACAGATCAAGCCAGCGTCGTGATTCCATGCCCATCATGGATGCGAGCTCAGACAGTAGCAATAATAGCGTCGACGTTGAGGAGGCTACCGACGTCAAAGTGCAGGTTCAACAGGTCCAACAACAGATGCAGCAGCTGCAACAGATCCACCAAATGCAACAAATTCAAGCTCACATGGCTCAAGCTCAGGCCCAGGCACAGGCCCATGCCGCACAAATGCAACTTGAACCGATCGAGCTGAGTGCGCGAAGGGCAGCCTTCTCTGTCGATCATATCCTAGAGCGGAATTCAAACTTTCCAGCTATGGCATTGCCTGGCCTACACGGAATACCAAACCTTCCCAATATTAACATGGCTACTTTGGGGATGACCGGGCCCCCATCGGCGATCGCAACTGTACAGACGAAAACCGAACCCGAGGAGTCAACGAGGGGAGACTCTGTTACACCTAATAGAAAACCGCTTAAATTCAGTATAAATGCCATTCTTGAACGAGACGATTATCCTCGAACGGATCGTTCGCCATCACCCTTAGAAGTCGGGACGCCGCTTCAACCTCTGTGCCACTTCCCTGGTCCAGGTGAGTCCGACTATAAAAATCTAACACATCCTTATGAAGTAAACACTTTATTGCATTTATGAATTCTACACAAGTGCAAGCAAAATTTACTGCATGTTTCAGGTTGTTGTATCGATACATACGTTCGTAAAGATCGGATAAGGATCGACAAGCGTTTTGTGTCTAACGTTTGTATCAGAAAATCAGGCCATATATCCTAATATGCTAAGCTTTGTCATTCTGCCCTCATGATATTTCTGTTCGTGACTGTGTTTCTATCTATGCGGGTATCTTCAATTGCTCAACGGACGATTTGCTTGTCTTTGAACCGTGGGCTTGAGCTGATGTTTCTTTCAAACCTCTAAGCATCGTCTGAGTTCATAGTTTGAGGGGTCAAACTCCGTAATTACACCGAAAGCTAGACGGCAAGCATGATGTTTCGAATGTCCGTTGTAATGCATAGATTTAAATATTTTGCTTTTAACCTATCTTTTACCAATTATTACCATGTTCTTCTGCATAGGCTCGTCTACAAAGGTTTCACATAAGAAATGTAGATCTTCTATTGATCTTCTTATTGCTGGGGTTAAGCTGCCAAATCTGGCGCGAAGGACCACAGTAACTGAACCTTTAATAAACTGCAACATTAAAAACAGTTAAAAAAAAAAAAGTGTACACGCTTTCGTATATCTCTCTTTCTTCTACAGCAATAGGTTACAGGTATCCTGTAGCCTATCATAAAATCGCAATTCAGGCTTTCCTATAGACGTCGATCACCTTTCTAATTATTCAGTCACTGCGCATACTATACAGACACATTTCTGCCTGGCCGAAGATCGAAAGAGATAAACGACCACTAGTTCCAACCTCACCAACGGCATACCCTGCACAATCCGTATGAATATAGAGCGTTATACTTAATTTTAACCGCCAATCTCGTACACGATCGCGAAAACATTCACACATTATTTTTATAGTTATTTAATTATCGTTTGGTTTTTCCTTTAGTGGGCTTAAAGCATGCGTCTGTTTATATGAAAAGCCAAAGCTCAAAGGACCCGATCTCACTGCTGCTTACTGCCGCTCATACTCCAGATCGCTGGGGACTGTGGTGGTACAGTGGCAACATATTTGCTTGCCTAATCTAAAGGTAAATAGCGGTCGAGGTTCGATTGCGAGGTAGACACACTCCTTTTTAAGCTGGAAGCCAGCTGTTTGAATTGAGGATTTGGTAGAGCAGTACCGAGCGTAGAAGTCAAAACATTTACTTACTTATATACTTTGGATCAGGTACCTGTATCTATGCGAAATTATGTAGCCAAACCACGTCCAGCTGAAGTGCAGCAACCTAAACAGTTTTCTAGTTTAGCAAACACTTTCAAAAGTAAGTGCTTGAGAACCACGTTATCGCACAATAACTTATAAGTTTAGAAATAACAACCATGGGACTTCTAGACTGATGCCGATATCTGATTCTAGACTGATATTAATTCCTATAACTGTGGTATAAAGCCATATTAGCGTTAATGACTCGTTAGTAAATTTGACCCGTTCAGTAATTTACAACCAAAACAGAGCTTGCCTGTTCACTATAGTTTTACGTTCCACAAAACGGATAACGTTCTCTTCTTGAACAATATTTGTCAACAGAACGTCAAAGCTACAAGCACACACACTTTTCCAATTACAGCCAAACTTAATTACAAAAATCCGAGAAGATGTTAGATAATTTAATTACTCATTGAGCATGAGCAGCCTTAACTTGCCGTCTAAAAAGAAGGACAAAAAAAGACTTTGGAAGCGGGCGTTCGTTTTACTTCAACTTTGCATATCGATAGAGAGGGATACTTTTAGCATGTACCTATATCCGGCCAGGCCAAACTCTGATCTAGTAAGGCAGGCGCTTAACAGAATCGTAGCTAGTTTCAAAATCTTTCAATCTCTCTACACTATCTACAAGCTCACGAAACCCAATACGCCCCCATCGCGTCGTTATTCCTGATCAGTATCTGCATTTTATTCTTTTTAGACGTAAGAGGACATAGACAATGACTGAAGTTATGCGTTTCAAATTTGTTTAAAATCAGCTGAATTTGTTCCTGTCATAGTCTGCAATAATATGCGAGCAATTCTCATCGTAAAGCGATCAACAGGCCATCTATTGGGTTATTGGGTAAACATGATAGAAAACTGCGAGGAAAGCAAGCGTAGTCTGGATTATTAGCGAAAGCAATAAAGCTTCGCTGGTCTGCGAACACCGTGCTCTGGTAGGTATCAGGCAATTCCCGATCGACGACGTGTGTCGGAGCCAGGACCTGCTGCTGTTCAACAAACGCATCGGGCGGTTAGTCAGGTGTAAGCGCGAACTTTGGTATGATAGCTAACTAGCCGGCTTGACCTGGTACCAAATTATGGGATGACACCGGAACTTAAAAGGGGGCTACGGGGGTCCTAAGGCTAAGGTCATTGTTTGCGAATCGCAAGGACAACAATAAACTTAACGACCTTAGTTATCTCGAATTTTGGCGAGCTTAACTGGTCTAGCACTATGCGTCCTACATGCGTTGAGCTGTGCACTCATAATCTGTATTAATCTATAGCATGACTCTCATTGGTCATCATTTATATTTCGATAACGTAACCCGGTCATCGTTGGTCCTACCTGTTCTGTTGTCCGAACGTATAAAAATATCTTCAATTCGTCTATGACATCCATAAAATGCAGGCCTTAAATCAGCCGGGGTTTGCGATAGATACCTGAATAGTAGTAGTTGGACTAACCAAACGTTAGGCAAAATCTTAAGCTCTTCGCACATAACTAATTACTCTTTATCAACATGAAGATAATAATGAATTAGTTATAAACGAAACATGGAGAACACTAGGCTAATCGAAAGAGGAACACATCAATTCCATTTACTATGCATACCCCAGGATCTAAATTTGCTAAAATTATTTATTTCTTAGGTAGGACCACTTGTTGGCTTCGTTCGATTGATGGCCTCCTGCTTCGTCTTCCCGTGAGCTCCAAATCAAAGTCTGGGTTGTGTTGACTGTTCCTTTGGCACTATCGCACCGCCATTTAGAAGGCACCCTCTCTGCAGGGAGGTTAGACACCGTTTGGCCTTTGCTCTGGTACAATCACTTTCCTTGGGTTGGTTTGATCGTTGAATTTGTCCTACCCTGTTCCTGGCGTAGCCCATAAGCAGGACGGGGCAATATAAGCTTGTCAGAAATGCGAAACGACGAAAGTAAACGAGTCAACCAGGACCCGCCTAAACGCTTCTACATCAGCTGGCTAACAAATGCGTTGGCTAGCAGTTTCGGCCTATAGCCTTGGGAGACTTGTCGACAGCTGCTTCAGGCTTGGCAACATATTTCGAATGAATTTGTACCCCATTTGGGCGCAGGACTTTCTTCCTCGTTTGATAACAAAAAAACTAAGAAGTGACTTGGTTCGAGGAGAGTCTCACTGCAATAAGGGCGTACCGCGATAACCAGCAGATCTGTGTCGTACGCGTGGCGGGGAGCCTCATAACGCTTAGGGAAACATATTATTAGGAACTAAATACAATAACACCTTAGTAAAGCAGCATTCAGTGGCAACACTGACGAATTCACAGGTTCAACTAATTGTTAAGAAGGTGTTGCTTACTTCACGTGTCTGTTAACTTGCATTTAATAACACTATCTTGTTTAGAGTTACCTTGAAAACAGGTGAGTTTGGGTATACTCCAGTCGTAGCCCGTGCTAACTGGTTCCTAATGGATTCAATATTGCTTGGATACTTGATTACATTTCTTCGTAGAGGCGTCTATTCTCAAGGGTCTGAAATCGTAGAAAGCGGCGTTGTTCTGAGTATTCAAGCTCTACCTAACGGTTAATAGTTATTTATGCCTGTAAATAAGATAGAATGCAAGCTAGGTTCTATGACGATTTCTCCATAGTCCATTCATTCAATACGTACATTTGTGTTAATTACGATGAGGTTATTGTGACACGTATAGTGAAACATAACATTAATTCTGTAACTAACTCACGGCTGATAGAGGGCAGTGTTATGGATTTCAAAATTCTCTGCAATGGTTACGACAGGGGCGAAGTCTACTGAACTGCTTGAAGACATCTTGATTCTGTTTGACCTTCGACAAGTTTATACGCATACGGATCGTCTCGGCTCGCGCTACTTTCAGTCAGATTGGTCCTCTGCTCTCGTATCTAGCTAGCTAAACTGTGTATGTAATTTCGACCTTGCTTTTCCCAGATCACCTTTCAGCTCATCGACAAAATTTGCCTTTTGCAGTGGCTATAGGCCATCATTGTAGGATGATGCGTAGCATGCGTCTACGATAATTGTTGCGGTATTGGGATGAGCAGCTGGCACGTTTTACTGGGAGCATGAGTTCGAAACCAAGCCACACAGACGCTGAGCAGCGCAGCGTTGGCAGAAGACCGCGAAAACGCCCTAGTGAAAATGTTCGATATATTCATATCGTCTCCTGGAAGTGATGATAATCTCTGTTTAGCCGCGGTTCCCTAGTCACAAGCGTACTCTTTGGCAAGGGGTGCTCTCCATCCCAGGGGTCCCATATGCCTCATAATCCTCGGCCGTTATCCTTATATAGCTTTTTGCCGATTCGCATCAAGCGGGGCTATGTGTACATGTGCGTCTCTTATGTAGCTTGTAGCGGGCCTTTCTGAACGGCTTGCTTAAATGAGCTAAATTTCACCATGGCTACTTTATCGTGAGGGGGTCTCCTAATGCACACATATATTAGCTACGTGATGAAGGACGGGGCAATCGGCGAGCAAACCGCCCAACTACCGTTTTGTGCGGTGTACTGCTGCTGCTTAGACTATACAAGAAAACTTATCCTCGGGAATGTATTGCAGGATTGGCAGCTGAGGTGCCAATGCAGCGCAGCCTTGGTGGTGAGGACAGCTAGGTTTTATATACGTGGATTCAAAACGATACTATCTTGAGAAAGTCACTAAGGCATTGATCATGCGTATGTCAGAAA